TGACAAAATTGTAGATAGGTGAATCTATAGTTTTGTCATCATAAGAGAAAATCTATCTATGTGGTTGCTAACAGTCGACAATGACTTGATGGCACATAGTCAATCGTTTTGTCAAAATGAAATTCCAAGGAACACCAGAAACTACCAACTCTTCACAGAAAGAAACTAATATAGCCATGATCTTTTTATCAAAAGAGGTCTATGTTTATATGTTGCTTAAATGGCATTGTTTTCTGCAGCATAGAGAAAAATATTATCTTCTGACCTAAGAAATCCAGAGCTGCCACGTTCAAATCATAAACCTTTTATTTTTTTAAAAAAGTTATGGTTTACAACAGGAGCCTACAGTCTGTGGCCATAGACCATATTCAGTCTCCTGAAGTGTACGTATCCCCAAAGCCCTGAGGATGGTCCAGAGCATCTGCAAGATCTTGCCCTTTTGTCAGGATGAAAGCAGCATTGTGGCATCACACCACAAGCTTCACCCTTTGGAGGTGTGCATACATACAGGTAGTCCTTGTTTAACAACTGCCTTTTTAGCAACCATTCACAGTTACAATGGTGATGAAAAAGTAACCTTACAACCAATTCTCGCATTTACTACCTTTGCAGGTCTGTAAAGCAAAGTAAGATCATAAGCCAGTCAATTTCACTTAGCAACCACTTCAATTAATGACCCAGTTGCAGGTCCCAATTGTGGCCACTAAACAAGGACTTCTTGTATTGTTGTACATAACAAAGGGGTAGAGTTTGCATCAGGGCACTGCAAAATTGTTTTCATTAGCCTGGCCCCCTTACTCCCCGAGGATGCCTCTGGGTACAGTTCAAAGACTCTCAAAAGTTGCTACCTGATTTACCCTTTTCAAAATGTCAGAAGGAGAATATCAATGGAAGGACATTCTATTCAGTATGAAATGGATTATATTTTAACTAAATAAATTTAAGTTTCACCCTGAAACCTGCTTTTGAATTCTCAGCCTGCCGCAAAAATGCTAGGTGTGGCCCTAACACCATTGATTTACAAGATGGAATGACAAGTTAACTATGGGAGTTTTTTCCTTGGGTGAATCAAGCACAAATTATGATTTGTGTCTCTGTTTTTCTAACAAGAGGACAATGACCAATTTTATCTTACAAATGAGGATACCAAAATTAGTATGTTTAAGCTACAGCTGATTAGACTCTTAATTTGTCATGTTGTTGCATAATTATTTGCAACTAGAGGAACAAATTACTTTCCAAGGGAAACTGGGAAGAGTAATCAGAAAAAGCAAAGGAGCCCCCCAGACCAGATAATGTGCAAGATCTAGACATTTTAAAGGACTGAGCTTAGTGCTTTATAAGTGGGAGAAGATAATATACAGCACTAGAGGAAATAAGGAAAAAAATGGCAGTGGGACAGAATCAGCAGAATTGGGAACTCTTTCCATAAGGGTCAAACATAAGCACGCTTTCCCAATCTCACAAGTAAAGAAGATAATGTGGTCTGTGCTCCAGTGAAGAGCAGGATTTCTTCAAGAACCTTCATTAACAAAAGGCTTCTCAAGAAGGGAGTAATACTGTAAGTCACTTCACAACACAAAAACCTGATCTACATGTTTTTGCATGTCACTTTCTCTCTTTAAAAAATAAAATGAGCAAGATTTTAGTATAACCTCTAATCTTGAAAGAATATGCCTTTCACCAATGGTGATGATTGCAGAAAGAGAAAAAAAATATGTTGAACATCAGAGATATCCAACTGTACCAAGACTCAGGTAGGAACAAGTAGATTTCGATATTACCAAAAGAACAGTGTATTGTTTAAATTGTTGTGCTTTAATGTGTACAAATATCTCTTTTTGTCTCTTCATATTGATAATGTATAGATACACACAAAATATGACACAACGATTAAAAAAGAAAAAAAATGCCTGTAAATTTTCTATCAGGAAGAAAACACCTCAATAGGATTAATGCCTGTAATGTTTGAAGGCAAATAAAACAGAGTTGTTTTAATCATAGTGCAAAACCAAGCAACAGGCAATCACAAAGACCCTAAACTAAAAATAGAATCAATCTATTTTGAGCTTAAATTGCTAGTAGGCACTGCCACTCCTCTTACAAGGAGTAATAAAATACCTGGGCAACCCCAAGATCAGCCTTTATTTAAACTCAGGATTTTACTGGGTTCAACAACTTACCATGTATATTAAACATAATGGACTACAAGTAGGCTCCATTAAATCAGGAGATACTAAACTGAAATCCAGTGTGTACCATTAATATTTCTCTTGGGAGGAAGGGGAGAATCCAGTTAAGAGATCTGCTGATTCTTAAGAAGGAACTCAACCCAAGAAAGGCGTGTAGTCCAGTCACTTGAAGAAGCAAGGAGGAGGAGAAAAAGAAAGAAGGACAGAGCATGCAGAATGAAGTTCACCTGCTGACTGCAGTACGATGGAGTGGAAGTGCAAATGTAGGAAGAAGAGAGCATGATCACTTTTTTGGGGCAGGTCCGACAACGCTCCTTTTTCCTCATCTTTGTTTTAAAACAATGGAGGGGAAATAATAGAACAAGAAACATCATCATCGGCTTTATTTTAACACTCTGCACAGAAAATTCAACATCATAATTTTTTCTCCAGAGAAAACCAGTCTAGGTGCAAAGACATTCTCATTCAGAAATAGGCCCATCTCAAGTTGCGTAGTCAAGGAATACATCTGAGCACCTTGCCCTATGGCTGAAAAACACATCATCTGGAGCAGTGCTCCCTAAACTGGTGCCCTCTAAAATCTGGATTGCAGCCTTCAAGTGATGTTGCTAGGAATAATGAGAGTTGCAGGTGAATGTGTTGGGAAGGAATCAAAATGAGAAAGGGCGATTTGAAGGAAATGGATGTTGTTTTTCTTTCTTAGCTTAGGAGCTAGAAGTGCTGCGGAGCAGACCTCTTGAAAGACAGGGTTTTCACATCGTTTGAAAATGTTGCATAGAACAAATGTTCATTACAGGTTGCGTCAGTTGTCTGAAACACCCAAACCACTAATATGGAATTCTGTGTGATTTCAAAAGCACCAAAATATAGTCAAACGAAACAAACAGCCTATCCCTATACTATGCAGCATTGAGCAATTTTCATAAAACTACTCAAGCTACTGTTGAGGTCTAGAAATATACTGCTGTTTCCTATTTTTATATTATTTTCCCAAAACTTACCAATATATACAGGTCATAAAATATGAGTCATCAACCACACTTTATTGCTTGCTTAATGATGAAGGCCGATTGCTAATACCCTTACTATCTTCTATTATTATTTAGATATATATATCTAAATTTATAAATATATATAAATTTATAAAGGAATTTATATATTCCTTCTTTCCTCCAAAACCATAAAGAACATCCATAGAAATCCCTTCTCCAACTGTTTTTCACTATATTAATTCTACGAATGGGCCGGGAGAAGAGAAGGTAAGTGGCCAAAAGTCACCTGGTGAGCTCATATGACTGACATTAGACTTATACCTGGATCTCCCCTGCCTCTAGTTCCTATACCCTGATCACTATACTACACTGTAATATCACCTGACCTTGGAACATCTATACATGCCAATCTTTCAAACTTCCTGATACTACAATGAATATGTATTTAGAGTTGGAAGAATAGTGTTCCATAGGAATGTAAGAGACACTTTGCTGGACCACACTAATGGCTGCCCATTATTTTCATCTTCTGAAAACATACAAGCAAGATGTCAATGTATCAATCCACTCACATTATTGTTCCCCGGCAGTTGGTATATTCCAAGACATTCAACCTCTGACTCCTTAAGCACAATATGTAGTCTTCATGATCAATAACTACTAATAACCTTATTCTTCATGTCCATCACTACAATTTATGCAACCAAATTCATAGCTACAGTTTATTATTTTCAGTTTTGTATTTTCCTACTTTTTTGGCCCTGGGCTTTCTTCAAGTTTCCAATTTGGACTTTTTCACTATGCAATGTAATAATTAACTTTATTAAAGATGAACTCGGAGCCAAAGTTTAGTTAAATTTGGATAACTGAAAGGGTTATAAAGTAATCATTTTGCATATTGTCCATACAGAAGGAGATGAACAAGAAGCCTCTGAACACCTGAAATAATCCATCAAGCACATGGGGGAATGACCTGCATTCATACTGAAATTAAGGGGAGAATCTAATGGAGCCCTTAATGAAATCCAGAAATCTAATCCACCAGGTCCCAATAAATTTACCTAAAATATGGACCTTTCCATCAAACTTCTAAAAATATAAGATACACTATTTTTCACCCCCAAGTGGCACTCAGTTCTGGGTTCACAAAAACACAACAATGAAGGATGTTCTTCAAGTCAACAAATTATAGGTAAAAGGAGATTATTCTATGATTGGCTTTTATCATTTCAGTTTAAAAAGATCTGATATTGTTACCAACATAATTCCTCTCCGTGAAGTAACACATTTGACTATCCTGACAACATGTTGACCTATCATCAGATTTCCAATCCACAATTTCCAGTATCAAAACTTTATTCCCCTCCCCTTTCACTCACACACACAAACACACATAGAGAGACTTGTGCTATTAGTATGCAAATGAAGAATAAAGCTGTTAGAGTACAAGACGAAATTGTCTTCAACCACAGAGCAGTCATGTTTATTCCTTCAGGACTATTGCTAGAATTTTTCACTGATACAGTAGATTTAATCTTTTTAATAATGCCATTTTCCATAAAAATAAAGGAGACTATACCTCCTACCTTATATTTTCATGCTAATTAAAATGTGAGGATGACTAGAATTGGTAGAAAGTGTTGAATCTAATTAAATTTCTTCAAGGAAAAGCATCAAGTGAGTGAATAAGAGAAATAAGATTCTTTTGACCACATCTTTCTATGGAATACAGTTAAAAACACAAAGAACAAATGTCTCAGAAAGCCTTTGATCTGACCACAGAATATGTGGAATGAATAATTTCTTGCCCCATAAATTGAAAGAGTTAACCCAAACATCAAAGAGTTATTTCACTTAAATTTGCTCCTGTTTCACCTTGAGAAGATGTTAGGCTTCTACATGTTTCAAGCTGCTGAGCAGAGAGATGAATGACTCGTTTGATGAGATTCACCAAAAGTTCACACCATAATATGTAACAGTCTTAAATGGTACTGTACTTTGGAACTTTTCACTTTCAAAACCTTATACCTTTCATCTTTAAGAAGGAACTATGCTATTAACTAGAATTAAGCTCATCAAGAAGAGGCCCTAACTAACATTTTTGTCCATAACTGCAGTACTCTCCCTGTGCTGGTAGTAATACAAATGGAAATTTCCACACAGGATTGCCCCTTTGGGAAAAAGAGGTTTGATGGTGTATGGAGAAGAGAAAGAAGACAAAACAGTGCTATTTATGAACAATTACCACCTGGTGCAGTCATAAGAAAAATTATAAGAAACAAAGTAAGATATCAAAACCATTCAGTATTAGGAAGACACGTCTCCATTAACTACTGATTTTGGATAGCTTGTGGGGTGTTTATTTTGCCTATTCTTACAGTGACTTCTCCATTAGCTGGCCACCAAAAGTTCTTCAAAGGCTGAAATCTCTTATGATAATTTATCCTGTTCCAGTGACTCATCCTTGACGTGCTTTTCATCGATCAAGATAATGTCATTCTTTAGCAGCGTTGTCTTTATGCAGGACAATTGTGAAGATTAAGACCTCAAAACAATTTCATTTTGGTAGACAGAATCATACCAATGACATATTTCAGGTGATTGCTTTCTCAGGGACTCACCTGAATCTAGGCTAAGAAATTAAACAATCTGCTAAAAAGAGAAGTGACAAACTGTAAGTCTGAGAGTTGTGTGGATCAGCCCAGGGGTGCAGTCCTGTGCATAAATTCCTCAGAAGTAAGCAACTAAGCTATATAACATAGCAAAAATTCTACTGTACAAATTTGATATTTTAAATTACACACCAAAAGGAGAGCCATATTGCAAAACTATGTTTTTAAAATATTGTTTTCTTGCAGATTAATTCCATGTTTCTTGGCTCTGCACTTAGCACATGATCTGAGTTGGAAATGAACTACTATATTCAGAAATATCCATCTGGCTTGGTTACATTCTGTCTGCTATTTTCCACTTTGTTTTGTTTTCAAAATGTTATGCACAACTTTGGCCAGAAACAGGTAAGAAGTATGTATGTTCTGAGTGAATGGCTGCTTTCCAAATTAAAGTATCTTGATAAATAATTATGGGAGGATTTCATAATCTGGCATCCTGTTGATGGCAACAGGCTGAGGGAAGCTACCCATAGAGTTGGAAAAGTTTATAGATGATAGGTGCCATAAATAAGCAAGACAACAAGAAGTATTCACCAGTAAGAATTTCCTAAAACCAAATTGACTCATCTTCATCTGTATTTTCATTTGTGTTTTAAGCAGATGCAAACTGAGAAAATATTAGAAGCAACAGTACTATTGCACTTTTCCTCTTAAAGAATCTATATATTCCTGTATGTGTGAATGCTCAGAAACAATATTAGCATATTAATAATCCTTGCATTCATTTCTTTGTGTTTTTGCTCATGTTTTGATGACTGCTCCCTAACCATAACCTCATTTCCTTGAATGAATCTATATACTGAATACTTAAAACAACGCTCGCATAGGAATCAGAAGATAGAACAGAAGATTTTTAATTTCTAAATAATTTCTTCCAGCTAAATTAAACCACTTTTTAAAAATTTACACTAGAATGAAATATCTTAAAAAAAAATCTTTAAAGCTGAAAAAGACTGGGATCTACTGGATATATAGCAAAAATCCATAATGCCAAATGAAGTAAACATTGATTATTTGTAATAGAGATATACTGCGTATCTGGGCAACTGCCAGTTCTTCTACATTAGCACAAGAGGTATACACTAAGAAACAGATCTATTTCACAGTGTGTGAGGTATTTCTGCCAGAATCAGGACCAATTCTCACATTATGTTTTCCAGTGCTGAGGATCTAATCTCCCTTGAGAAAGTTCCTCAGAGATACTAGAATGCGATAATATTAAGTGCTTCCGAGACTCAATTCTAAATATCTCCAAATCAGAATTACATAAACTGACGGGAAAGCAATGTTTTCATATAAAATGAAATTACATTTGAGACACTTTCACTGTAGCGATCTCATGACTGCTCAAGGTTTTGTTAATAAGATGCACTGGAAAGGACAACTTATGCTATCAATTTCACTGATGACTAGAAACTAGGAGCCATATGTAAGCTAAAACTCCTTAGCAGACTTTGAGACCTTGATCACAAAGCAGTGCCTGCATACAGGAATAGGAGAAGTAATGCAGAATGGAAAAAGCAGTAGCCAATGGGGTTGGTTGCGTGACAGTCATTCACTGGGGTTTGTTTTACCTGTTTCCACTGAGGTATTGGGACATGGCGGCCCTGCTCTCGCTGTCGATAGGTGGGATGGCTGAGAGCACGCTCTTGATAAGGCTGGGCAGAATGTTGATGCAGGTCATAACACACCCAGGATGGCGGGCGTTCCCACAAAAGGCAAAAACGGAACTCACAAAGAAACCCACAGAGGGACAGGGTAGATATTGAACAACGTGATCAGAAGACAGACATCAAGGAGGGGAAAAAATGGAGTAAGGAAAAATTAGTTGGCAAACAAAAAATAGAAAATTATATAAAAATGGAAGGAAAAAAAGGGAAAGAAGACAGAAACTTAGCCATGAAAGAAGGCCATCTGTCTTCTGTTATTTGGACAGGTTGTTTGAATAAATTTAAATTGGAAGTGAACTATCAGAGGAAAAAAAAATCTTGAAAAATCACAGTACAGATGTTTTAATCCATGGACTTCATGCCAAGAGTATCTCTACCAGGATATCACTTGAAATTCTGGCATTCCATTTACAGCAAACTGCAAATTGGATAATAATAATAAAAAAAATCTCTCCTGCTGTGGTCAGTCAAGTTAAATAAGCTCTATAGGATTCCTGGGTGAAGCCAGTTATTTGAGCCACTTTCTCAAGCAGAAAAGCTGGTTTTGTATGAATGATTCATTGCAACAGCTACTGAAAATTGTCCTCTGTATGTTGAACAGATGGCAATTCCTCAAAGATTATTTTACAAAAGACTTCCCTGAAGGCTACATTTAACTCCAGGATGAGCACAAAGTGGGGGCTGACAGGGGTCTCAAGCAGTAGCTTTCATGACCTGGAACTTGATCAGGCCCCCAACCCCAAACCGTTTCTAGACACTGAGCAAAGAAATGGCAACACGCCAGCATGTCTCTGTATTCCAGGGCTGCTTTGGCATAAACCTCCACCAGGATTAAAAAGAGAAAGTGCTTCTTTATTCTTAGAATGCAAGAGTAGCTTTTATAACTTATTTGGCTACAGAGGGAGACTGCACTCCCTCCAATCAAATTCAAATGCCCTGAGGCAAGAAGGTCCATCCTTTACCAAACTATTAATTGAAGCCCCAGATGCATCCAATAGGAAATCCCTTCTCACCTGTCTCCGGATGCCTGTGGACTGTACCGGGGCATTCTCCTCAAATTTGGCTAGCAGCTGTGTTGCCATGGACTTCACTTTATTCTGGTTCCCAATAGCAGCATCAATTCTTCTTTCTGTCAGAGCACTTACGAGAGTGGGCCTGTCTTCACGGCAGCTTCTGGAAGTGTCCTCCTACAATCAGTGTGAAGTATGGATTACCAGATTCCTTTTGGGTGCCCTTGAAAATCCCTCTATCCAATTCCAATTCTGAGTATCATTACGAGTTCTGAAACATGCTCTCTTTCTTGTCAGTTTGCTTTGCTCACCATGTCTGTTTTCCTCCATGTTCAAAATAGCCTAATTTTACCAACAAATTAAAAAAGAGTAGGCAGGAATCGCTGCTCGGTATCAGAGGATATGCTTTGCATGTAAAAAAAAATCAGATTTGATGCTCACAATCCACTAGAAGGATCAGGTAATAGATAATCAGAAAATCTGAAGACCAACAGCTCCCTCTGACAAGACTGAATCTGTAGCACATGTGTTACTAAACTGTCCCTTATATTACATTTAAATCACTTATTATTATTAAGCTTTCCCACTTATTATTATCAGTGATTATAAATCAGTGATTATAGATCAGCTGCGGCAAGATTACTGCACTGAAACATTGAAGAAAGTTTCAAAATTCCTAGCTGTAGCTATAGCCATGGTCCCTAGAGTGGGTTTGCTCTACAACCAACAGCCCAAGTTCTTTTCTTTTCATCTCTCTTTTCTATAACTGTTGACTGCCCAGTTCCAGGTCCTCCCACTAATTTGCATAGAGAACCTTGATATCATTCATAACACTTCTCTCTTTGCCAAGTTCCACTTACTTATGTTGGCTTTCGTTTGTGTCTGCGTGCATTTTAATTACTTTTATTTATTGTAGTAAATCTTTCTGTTTTTTTCTCTCTCCTATGGTCTATGGCCATTTACAAAAATAAATTAAAAATAACAATTCCCTGTGTTCAACTAAAGAATGCAAAGAAAAACAAATTGCGTTGGTTCAGAATTACAAATGTTAATGCACATCCTTCCATCAGGATATACCACATATTTTAAAATTCCCCTTCAAAGATTCTGAGATTGAGGTAAAGCTGGGAATATGTCTCATGTAAGATTATACAAGATGGTTTCATAAACACCAGAAGGGGAGTGAAGAAATTTCTTTCTGAGCTTTAGCAGATAGAGAATCACATAAGTGACTAATGCCTTGTACAAGCTAAGCTGTTGTAGGTTAGCTTCATCCTAATATCCAACTGTTTATAGGCAAGGTTGGGTTTCTTTTTATTTTATTGTATTGATTGTATTAAGCAATATTCAGTCCTGTCCATGACCCATCACATCCACTCTGGAAGTTAAAGCCCAGAAACACATTTTTCTCCCCATCTAATATTTATAGAATTAAGGGCTGGTGATTAAGCATCTTTTAAACTATATGGCAGCCATTCAGTATCTTTTTAAGGATTAGAAACCCAAGTGACTTTGAGCAAGGAGTTTAGTAACAAGGGCTTCAGGTTTTTTGCAGCTACAAATCCCAAAATTGTGCTGAGGAATGCAAGATTCTTCTGAGGTTCTGTCAAACATCAACCTTTTAAAATTATGTTATCACTCCTTTATTTACAATTGCATGTACGTTGCTTACTCAAGCAACTCTAGTTGGCTTACAAGAGTATATTAAAGATACCCATAAAATCCAAATGTTAAACTTTTTTTAAAAAAAATCCTTAAAATCTGGTGCTGTGGCTTCCAAACTCAAAAAATTTTCAACTGCTTCTTGAAGGATAAAGTGGTGGAGGTCAGACTAAACCTAGAGAATAAACTGTCCCACAGTGAGTAGCCCACCACTGAGAATGACATTTTTGGGGTTCCTACCCCTATGATCTCTCTAGGGGCAGGTACCCATAACATCCCCTTCCAGCCAGAGTAGGGTGGGCAAATTCTACCTGAAAAAGTCCAGTAACAAGGTAGGAAAATATGTACTAATTAAACTAAAAGAAGCACCATCTTTTAATCACTGAAATGTGCAGGCTGGTGCAGGTCCTGATCGTCCCACTCTTAACTGCTGGCATTTATCTGGTGATTAAAATGGCATGAAGGTAGTATTTAAATGCCAGAGATACGCCCAAAACAAAAAAATGTGGTTTGTTTTCAACCCAAAACAATTATATTTCCTCTCAAAATGTGTGCTAATGGATCTAGGTTGGCTGTGGTTTGGCAGAACCAAAACCTGGAATACTTTGGCAGTTGCTTTTGATTTATTGGCTGTTTTGACTGTTGCTTTCCATTTATTTTGGCTTTTGCTTTCAGTTTACTACTTTTGAAATAGAAATTACTAATTTAAAAATGCTTTGCTAAATGTCCTTATAATTCAATGTAATGTGTGGATATATGATCCTTGATTCCTCTAATACAAATTAGCTAAGGTCCTAAGATGAACAGGCATTTAGAGAATGAAAACAGTATTACTTACATCTTCTGACTGACTTGTTTTCCTCCTCTTTCCTGAACCATCCAGGTCTTTTTCCTTTTTATCCTAAGCAGAGGAGAGAAAACTCTGAGTCCCCATTGTCCCCATATCAAACTTCACATTTTGATAAAGCTACTATTCCCTGTTTTTCTTACCTTAAAACAACTTGTTGACCTTTTTCTGGAGTGAGCCAGTGTGTTTGCAACTTTTTAGTTTAGCCTATTCAATGGTCCACTACCATCTCAGTTGCAGAAACTGAGCCAGTGTGCCCCCCTTTGATCTAGTCATCCACGCAACAAGCTTTCAGAGCTGATGCCAGCCACATCTTGGGAATTACACTGTCTCTGAAAAACATTCATGCCTACGGTATCATATGATTTAACTGTATTTTGATACTGTCTTTTGATATTATTACATTTGTATTAATAGATTCAGGCTGGCTGTAGTTCAGCAGAACACAGGTGTTTCAGTCTGAATACAGATCAAACTTCTATTTCCGTTCAAACAAGGGCCACCAGGAACTTACTGTTTCGTGTATAAGCATATAGCACACGTTTGCAAGGCTACTTTTTCTTGCTTTTCAGAGATCACCAATTATCTATATGAAACATATCTTTTACATTTATTCTACCTCCACTACATTAGAAACCTGCCTTCTATAGAAGAACTGTATACTGTGAGGGTCAAAAGGAGGGCAGAGAGGATATTT